TTACAATCACTATCTTCTTAAAATCTTTCTTAGTGAAAGCATTTCCTCACAATCATTTTCATGAAGGAGGAAATCTTATGAAACTTAGATTTAAATGGTGTATTTGTTCCTATCCATGTGAATTTGTTAAAACAAAAGTTTACAACAAATTTGAACTCATATGGACCGAACTTTCTTAATCTTGATTTCTTGCCTTATGGTAGCACAGCTGCCTACCACGTCTTCCAAGTAGTTAAGCAGCTCACTTTTTCCTATCAATGTACCTTTCATTGATCAACGTGCCTTGCCTTTTATGCGTTCAAAATGAGAACTCATAGTACTCATATGCATAATTAACTCAATTGGAACAGCACAGAAACAAAATAATGTCAACACGATAGGTTGTAAACCTCAACTTGTGTGCTAGTGATGATTGATAAGGTTTATTTGATTTGTTCTTGAAACCTTTCAGGACCATTAAGACTCCCATCGACTCATTGACATATAAGATTCTCTTGTCAATAAACAATTCTTGACAAACAAATATTTAAGAGTTAGTGTAGTTTTTATCAAAACATTTCATAAATTGGTCCTACTTGGCCTTTGTCTTATCCAAGACATCACAACTTTCCATATTTGATGAATGTTATAAACCTTCTTAATACTTTTCACTCATTGTCACAATCTTAACTTTAAGACTTGTTATTGGAACGAAGTATGATTGACCTTTTGATTTAACCATTTCTTCAATTCTTGATTCCTCTTCTTAAACATACAATTGTACTAAGACTAACTTAGAGGATCAATTGAGATATGGTTCTTAATCATAAAGACCTATCATAAAGCATAAATGTACTCTCCCTTCTTCTTAGAATGGAGAAACTTTTATCTTTCTGCCTACTTGATTTTTATTCGTTTTGCTTTTGATTTAAACTTTTTCAATCAATTTAGAATTACACTTAATCTTATGAGTATAATCATATTTACTAAACCTTTAGTAAATTATGACGAATATCTTTGTTACTCTTATGGTGGAGTTGATCAACACACAACTTTGTGTGCTCGATCTCCTAGTCCTTTCACTTGACACTTTGTCAACGAATTAGTCTAATTTCCAAATATGAAATTTCTCATTCATCATGCAACCAAGTTGCGTGATTCCAAATTTCTATCCAATTGAAATTTGGGTGATGAGAAACTCTCCCTATTTGGTAAATTCTCTACCTTTTCCATAAGAATCATATCCATTTGTTGAAAAAAATATTCAAACATCAATTTTCATAACGATTTCATTGCAAGGAAGTGAACAAATAAATAAGTCAAACCAAAATTTATTTTATTTATAAAAGTAGCGGAAAACATTTGTCCTTACAATGCAGAATCCATTGAAAACCATGTATATCAAAATGAAAATTTCTAACAACTCTATTATAACTATCTAATCTTCAAGTCCATGCAATCAAGATCCATTTCTTGTGATTAGATTCATCATGCTCTTTCACCAAGCTTCCTTTCTTTTCACCGATCCTACAAAACATTCAAATTCAATCTTATCACATCATGTATTTGAATCAATGAATAGGAACTTAGCGAATTTAGATAGTGGATTTTACCTGAAGCGCAGTCATACTCTTTGACTCTCCCATCTTTGGAAATTTCAGGCTCTTGGGGCAGACTTCTATCCAACGCCCTTTCTCTTGGCAGCAAACGCAGGTCGGTTCTCCTAGAACGTCCTCAGAAGCATGGTCGGTTGACTTTCCCAACAAATATGCTCCATTGCTTCGCCAAATCATTTCTGATTCAGCAGCAATGAGCATGTAAGTTAGGTCAATGAGGTTGTCGTCATGATCCATCATATAATACTTTCTTTTGAACTCATTATATGATTCAGGGAGTGATTGCAGAACCCAGTTCACAGCCAACTCATCGGGAAATGACACACCCAACATAATCAACCTATTGATGTGTGATTTCATTCCTAGAATGTGGGCACACACGGATTTACCATCTTCATGTTTCATTTCCAATAGGGCCTTAGTGATATTGAACCTTTCAATTCTTCGATCTTGTGGGTTAGGTAGAACAATTGGAGGAGGTGGAGGAAGTGAAGCATGATTTCTTGTTCCTCGGTCGAATCGTGGAATACCATCTTCATGTGGAATGCTTGTTCCACGGGATTTGGGAAGACCATGGTTGTTGAACTTTGACATCTACAAAACGGGAGAAAACAAATTCAAGTTAGTTGATCGATTGAGTCCTTAGTAAATCACCCAAATGAGATACTAAGGCTAGGACCCAACACAATACGCTACAACCTAGAAAAGGGATGTCGTAATCTAGTTGCAGAACATTTGAAGGTAAGTGAATGACGATTCACTAATTTCCACCATGAAAAACGAAAAAGAAGTTTATGTTTTAAATCTATGAAAACTCCTAGATCATTTGAGATTCATTAAACATTTCAATGGCATGTTTAAATCTCGATATGCCCCTCTCGTTTGTGACTGGGATGCCAAGGATCACGAAGCGGGTGTGAATAACCATGCAAATTTACATGGTGCCCTCACATGTTACAGTCACCTATTCGATGTGCCGGTAAACCACACACGCTCCACCGAACTATGACAAACATTGAGTCACCCTTTGCTACCTTTGCTTAGAACCATTTAGTGTGCCGGTAAACCACACACGCTCCACTAACATCTTCGCAAGGGCACAAAGTGTAATTTCATGGAATTGCATCAATTCACTTTGCCTAAGTAACTAAGATTGGGAATTTGTAAAAAAACATTTAGTTACTTTTGTATTTCATTATACTTATAATGGAAGGTTTCGTCCTATCCTACCCGTTCGGCTAACGAACCTCCACTAGTCAAGAGTGCGGTGGGTAAGAGTAGATACCCATTCAATCGCCATATTATAGGCAATTTTAATGTTATATATAATGTTAGACTTTTAATGTTATATATAGTATAGGGTGCATTTTACACTTTTAAAATATTAGGTGATCAAATTTAACAATTATACTTTTAATTCAATTAAATTGTAAACCTAAACTTTTATGGATTTATTAAACTTCTTTTAATTATACACCTTAATTAATTAATAAAACCATAAGGGTGTGATTTGAACTTTTCAAAACATTACTAGGATTTTAGAATTTAACATTCCTAATTAAACTTTTAATCAACTTTTAAATTCGAAAACTTGAGGGTATGTTTTGAAACATTTCAAAACATTAGGGTTTAGAATTTAAATATATATCACAATTAAACAATTAATCAAAATTTAAATTCCAAAACTTGAGGGCAAGTTTTGAAACCATTTTCAAAACATTAGGATTTTAACTATTTAAATTTCAAAAATTCAAAACTTTTGGGTTCAAATTTAAACTACAAAACCTAAAGTGGAAAATATGAAACTTTTCATAACAACAAGGATCAAATAACAAATAATTCAAATCAACATTTAATCACATAATTATCCATATTTCATTTATTTAATAATTTCTTGTAAAACAATTTATCAATTTACTCAAAATAATTAATCAATTATCACATAAGGAAACAATTATCTTATTAATTGATAAATATCTTCAATTAGATCAAAATCATAGTCAAATATATCATATAATCGGATTAATATTGATCTAACATGATAAGGTAATTATCCATAAGCAAAAACAACAAGAAAACCCGAGATACCCTCCATCTGACGAGTTGACTCGTCGAGTCAGGCTTGGACTCGTCGAGTCTGTATGGACTCGGCGAGTTCAGCTATGGAATCGGCGAGTCCAGCCTCCAAAACACCACAAAAACGAATTTTTTTGAACATGTAAGGCATCAATACAATTGAAACCAAGCTAGGCTCTGATACCACTGATGGGTTTTGGTCATAAGACATCCTATGTGCTCATACAAACCCTAATGCTTGGATCTAGGGTTCTCTATTGTACATGCAAGTTATCCAAGACTATAAACCCTAATTTTAGCATTCAAGTGATCATATTAACATAAGAATTGGTTTATAATGTTACCTTGATTGTTATGTAGCAATAACAATCCCAAATCTCCTTGTATTGACTTTGGAAAGCTCAGAGTCACAATTGTCACTCCTCTAATGGCTTACAAACACCAAGAGCAAATGGAGAAGATATGAGGAGAGAGAGGAGGTATTGAATTCGTCCCTAAGAATCCTTGGGAAGGTCTTACACGAATTCATGAGCCAAGGGGGTTTATATAGGTGTACAGATAGGGTTTCAGTCATTATCCTTATCTAGTTGCTTGCTTACCAAGCAACCCATAAGATAATCCTTGAATCCTTATCATAGTCGAATTATAAGGCATTATCACCTTAAATTCATCCATCCTATACTTAGGATAATCCTTACCTTATTTTGTAACTATCACATAATTACAATTCAGCCCCTCTAGTTTAATTAATTACACTTGATCACAAAATTAATTCCTAATTAATTATTGACCAATATTAATTAAACAAATATGATTTCTCCTTTAATATATTATTCTTATAACATATTAATAAATCATAATAACCTCTCTCTCTATTTATTTCTCCAATCAAGTTGCTTTGGTGAAGGCAACCCAAAAGGACCATGCACGATCGGGTCAAGTACATAACAAAATAGTTATGGACTTAGACACTAATCCAACATAGACTTGGTATTCTTCTACGGAACTTCAGAAGAAAGTCATATGCAGATTACATCAAGCCACATCTAGGCAATCCCAAAAAGCTTGAGAAAATCCGAGTTTGTTCAGTGACAAATATTTTACTTTTATTTCACAGAATGTGTCACAAAGGACTATCAAAGCGAGAGAGTTGTCAAAGTATGCTCGTCGAATGGGACGAGGGGGTATATTACTCTTAGGAGGAAGTTGGTAAACTTGGTCTTTAGCTATATTAACTTCATAGCAATTTATTTAACATGCTTTTATTTCGTACTCTTTAAAATTAAATTTTTTATCAAGATTGAAGAGAATGTGACTTCAAAGGAGGAAATGCCCCCAAGGTCAGTTATGTGGTGTAAAGGGCGTGAAAGTAAAGGAGAGTTAAAGGATGAAGATGTTAAAATCATGGCCGATAGACTTGTAACTTTACTACACTTTTCTTTTTCTTTTTCTTTAAATATTTTAATCATTTTTATTAAGACAATAATTTTTTTTTTTTTTTTTTTGGTAGATGGAACATGAGAAGCAGATAAAAGAAGGACAAGTAAATGTTGAACTAGGAATGGATGCCATGACCTTAGTTTTTGGCAAGGAAAAGGGCGGATTTTTAAAGGGTGTCGGCACGGGAGTCACTTACAACAAATATTTCAATGTTCCTCGCAACAAAGGGTCATCTAAGGAAGAAATTAAGGATCTTAAAGTTGCACCGCATAATGGAAAACTTGAGCTTGAGAAAAAAGATGATAAACTCAAGGCTTTGTGTACAAAAGTTAATGAACAAGATCAAACACTAAAGCTAGTTTTGGCTCGTCTTAACGCAAAAGGAGCTGACTTTCCAAATCTGTCTCATACAATTGTAAGTAATCTTATTGAAAATATATGTTGTCAATGTTAGCTGTAAATTGCATTTCTTTTACACATTTTCCATGTTTCTTTATATTTTCTAGGGTATTTCAAGTGAGAAGATTGTATACGTAATGAAACGTCTCTTATTAGTCTCAAAACTAATGAACCTACAGAACCTGTAACACCAGTATGTTATCATCTTACTAGATCATCGTTGATATATATATATATATATATATATATATATATATATATATATATATATATATATATAGGTACTAATTTCTGATTTTTCATGTTGGACTTTAAATTATGTAGGTTATTCCAAAACCCACCAAAAAACCTGTTCAAACGAAATCTGCAACTGCAACTCCCGATGCAGAATTGCTTTCCATAAAATCTGCAACAGTAGTATATACTAACCTTACAGTTTTCAATAACTTTTATATTATCTTTTATATTAAAATATAATTTTATATATGTCTTAAATCTTTATATTAGGCTAATACAAAAACCACGAAAAAAGCTATTGAGTCTAAGACTGCTACTATCAATCATGACATACCAACAATTTCACCAGATAAACCCATTTACCAGGTTAGTGTTTTTTTACATGATCAATATACATTTCTGTCTTTTTTTCAGATTATAATATTACCTGTCATTATAGCCAATCAAGTGTAGTCTATCATATCCGTATAAAAGGAACATCGTTGCTCGTGGTACCATTCACTTATCATCAGAAAGACAATTCATTCGTGGAGTTCCTCTACAAGATGATTTCTATAAAGTTTCCATTGATGAAGTGGTTGTAAAAAATGCATTTCTACCCCATAAAACTGGAGAATTCACATTAGTTGGGGATGCATATAAAAGTTTTGTTCCATGGCTAAAACACCATGTGCAAACCGAGTCAAAGGTTTGTTTAAATATGTTCACTACTTTGTGCATTAAACTTTATTTTCTTAATAAAGTACTATACTAAGTGTATGATGAACTATTTTTTTTTTTTGGTTTCAATGTTGTTGTTATAGGTACCATAAATTATATCACATCAAAACTCAACGAAAAGGAAACCAACTTACATATCATCTGATTCCCCTTCTCAAGAAGACAAGGAGCAATACAAACAAAATGAATGTCTAGCTAATTATGTTTAGGTTGTGGTTTATGATGTGTTTGGTTTTTTAACCGTTATTTAAATTCTTTAAAGTAGGACAATTTTCCTTTCTTTAATATTTTAATTAGGAATGTAATGTATGTATATGGATTTCGATTTCAATTATTATTAATATCAAATTATGAATTTTGTTTGTGTTTCATATTGTTGTGTTTCGTCACTTTAATTTAAATTAGTTTTGATGTGTCTAAAATGTATAAAAAGTAACAATAAATAGTAAGTTATAGTGGCTGTAGTATGATTTTTGCCATGTTTTATACGTTTTTAATGTCTCTAAAAATATACAATGGTTACTTTACATCAATTTGTAACGTGTGGCTAAATGGTTAACAATAGTCATAATATACAAGAATTATAAGACTACAATTGATTTAAAATGATGTTTATTAATATTTTTTGTCACTAAGTTAAACAATAACAACATGAATAACAATTTATGTGGCAAATAAATACCATAATTGATTGTCTTTGAGACTAAATACTAGTAAATCGTCACATATATCATTGATTATATGTGTCTATTTACCGAACACGAACATGTTCACCATAAATTATATGTGTCTAAAATATACCCAATAGTCTTAATTCGATACCAAATTATCCTTAATTTTAACAAAATGTGTGACTTTATATTACTTACGATTTTAATTCACTTAATTGTGTGTCTCTATACATTAGGTTATAGTCACAAATGTTGATTGTTTTTTGTGACTAATAATTAGCAATTCGTCACATATGAAAGTAAAGTACTTGTTGCCATTTAGCAAACGTGGTCACACTCACCATAATTAAAAGTTTACAGAAGATAAACAATAGTCTTAATAAAATTTAAACTGTGTGACTATATGTAACAAAACAACTACACTAAAACAACATGAATGTCACATGTTGGTGATATACAGTCACCACATTAGCTAAATATGTGTGACTACTAACTGTTTAATGCTACAATATTGGATATTTAAGGAACGTAATTCCATACACATTTGCCACACTTTTATACTACGACCACATGTTTTCATAGAATACAGACACTACATTTTAAAGTGACCATAAGACCGATACGATGGCGTCACTGTAACGACCCGTTCCCGGTACGTTGATTTATTGGTAATTATAGTGAGTTTTCTAGAGGGACTCGGCGAGTTCTAGCCTGACTCGCCGAGTCGGGTCGCGTCTGAGGGCACGCGGGAGCCGGCGACTCGACGAGTCCATAATATGGACTCGGCGAGTCCATCCGTCTGGGTGAAACCCTAAATCCCCGGGTTGCCCACTATTTATACCACCTTATAGCCCCATTCTCGCCTCCCTCACCCTGAGAACGCAGTGTTATCACCCCCCCCCCCCAAACCTCCATTGAAGAGTTTATGTGTTTTGGTGCCTTTTTGTGAAGGTGTGAAGAAGGAGAAGAAGAGAGAAGCTAGGAGAAGGGTTGGAGTGCAAAGATCCAAGGCTAGATCAGAGTTTATTGAGGTAATTTCGGAGTTCCATCTCATTATATGCCTTAAGTTTCCATTAGAGCTCTCCTAAGATCTAGTTGGTGCTTGTTTCAAGCCTTACTCTTGCATGAACATCTCATTCAGTCGAAATATCTATGGATCTGAATGTTGGGGTGTTGTAGAGCCCAGATCTACTGTCTTTTTGGGGTTACATTGCATGTTAGCCATGGATCTACTCATTATATGCATCTTTTAGCCTTATTTCCCTTATTTATGAGGTTGTGCACGTAAAGTTGGAAACTTTACGTGGTAAAACAGCTTATTGGACTCAGATCTATCAATTGCATGCATTGGATTCGAATAAAATCAAGTAAAAATCTATTGCATGGCGGCGACTCGGCGAGTCGGAAGAACGACTCGACGAATCGGGTCGCGAGTCCCGAGTTCTTCAGTTTTATCAGTGTCGAGTGGACGAGATGAGTTAGGGAGTGGACTCAGCGAGTTGAGAGTAGACTCAGTGATGAAGGGACTCGGCGAGTTTGTTCATACAACTCGGCGAGTCCAAGGCAATCTTCTTGGGGATCAAGAACAACTCATCGAGTCTGTTCATACGACTCGGCGAGTCGGATGAAGATCGTCTGAGTTCTTGGATCCAGAGGGTACTCGTCGAGTCGATGCCACACTCGACGAGTAGCAGCATGAAGAGCTGAGAGATGAGACTAGGACTCGGCGAGTTGGGTAGGCCGACTCGGCGAGTCAGCCCAGAGTGAGTTGACTTTGACCAAGGGTAAAAGAGTCATTTTACCCCCAAGTGTAGTGTTAGTATTTGATTGAGTGTGTTTATGGATTTGTAGCCGAGGAGATTCAGGAGCAGCAGCCGTTAGCCTTCCGAGCCACACACTCATCAGCTAGCTTACGAGGTGAGTTTCCCTCCAGTAAGGACGGGTCTAAGGCCACAATGCCGGCCCGTCCAGTTAGCAGTAGTTTCCGGACTTCGGTCCGATGTAGTAGTAGTATGTTTGATGCCTTCGTGGTTCAGACAGGATTTATGCGCTATGTGTTATGTGTTTTATGTTATGTGTTCCGGGCTACGGCCCGATGCAGTATGCAGTATATTTGTTCATGCTAGATGATATGCTATGCTATGCTCAGTCGGTTCCGGACTTCGGTCCGATGCAGGGGACACGGTCCCAGTTAGTTCCGGACTTTGGTCCGATGCAGTTAGTTCCGGACTTTGGTCTGATGCAGTTAGTTCCGGACTTTGGTCCGATGCAGGGGACAAGGTCCCAGTCAGTTCCGGATTTCGGTCCGATGCAATTTCCGGGCTTCGGCCCGATGCAGTAGGCAAGGCCCAATATGTGTTTATATGTTATTGTATGGTATGTGGTATTTTGGGTGAGCTCACTAAGCTTCGTGCTTACAGTTTCAGTTTTGGTTTCAGGTACTTCCGCAAGCAAAGGGAAGAGCTCGGGGTGACAGCATCGCACACACCGCAGCATGACTTTATCCTGGGATGTCTCTTGATATTTTGAGTTGATGTAGTATGATACAGTTTTCCGCACAATATTTTATTATGTTTTGGGAATACAACGCATGTGCTTATGTTATGATACTTATATTATGGCTTGATTATATGAAAAAAACGAAAATTTTTGGATCGTGTTTTTGGGTCGTTGTGGTTTGCACCTGATCCCACATCGGCTGGGAAGGAGAACTAAGCATTCCTTATAAGGGGTGTGGATACCTTCCCTAACACAACGCGTTTAAAAGCCGTGAGGGCAGCAGATCCCATAAGAACTCTGCAGTTAAGCGTGCTCGGGCGGGAGTAGTACCGGGATGGGTGACCCCCTGGGAAGTCCTCGTGC